GTGGTCCACCCCCTGGCGCCTCAATCGTGGTCAACTCGGTCCTCGTACCGGTTCGGGCCCAGATGAAATATCTGGGCCTGATCCTCGACGGGAGGTGGCTCTTCGACGAGCACTTCCGACAGCTTGCTCCAAAGCTGGTCGGCGCTGCGTCTGCCCTAGGGCGACTTCTGCCCAATATGGGTGGACCCAGCGTCGCGACAAGACGGCTGTACACGGGGGTTGTCCGGTCAATGGCACTGTACGGTGCACCGGTGTGGGCGGCGGCTCTGACCGCCCAGAATAGGGTACGCCTCTGGCGCCCTCAGAGGGTAATGGCGGTCAGAGCCATACGCGGTTACCGCACCGTTTCGACGGAGGTGGCATGCGCATTGGCCGGAACTCCCCCGTGGGATTTGGAGGCGGAAGTGCTCGCCGAAGTTTATCGGCGAGTGGCTGACTTCCGGGCGGAGAGCGGATTTCGCCCTCCGCCCGAGGATGTGCGCGAGTGGCGCGAAGCCGCTCACCGAGCCACGATGGCTCGTTGGTCGTTCCGGCTGGAGACTCCACGCGCTGGCTTCGCCGCCGTGGAGGCTCTCCAGCCGGTCATCGCCGAGTGGGCAGGGCGGCAGCACGGGACCCTTTCCTTCCGGCTGACGCAGGTGCTTTCCGGGCACGGTTGCTTCGGAAAGTACCTGCACACGGTCGCAAGGAGGGAACTGAGTCCCGCCTGCCACCACTGCGACTGCAGTGAGGACTCGGCCCAGCACACGCTGGCGGTCTGCCCCGCATGGGCGGCGCAGCGTCGGGCCCTCACTGCAGTCATCGGAGTGGATCTCTCGCTACCGGCCGTAGTACGCTCCATGGCCGGTAGCGACAGTTGTTTTACCGCGGTCGCTACCTTCTGCGAGGTAGTAATCTCGCGGAAGGAGGCGGCGGAGAGGGCCCGGGAGGACGACCTCCACTCGGACCCGATCCGCCGCCGGCGAACCGGGCGGCGGAGGCCCGGCTATCACAGCCTCATGCCGCCCTGAGTGTGGCCGCGGGTGGACGGGGTGGGTTTCCCCTCCACCCGCATTAGTTGGCCAGCCGCGAGGGGGCGGCGTCCGCGTGTGCCGGACGTCGCCTAAAGAGAGGAACATCCACATTGAGACGGAGCCCGCACCAGGAGCGGGCTGGCGCTAGGAGGGGTCCGGATGTCTTAACAGCAGCTGTTCCCGGATCCCTCCTGTTACAGGCGCAGAGTGGCACACCGTGTGGTTTTAGTCGGTCCGAGTCCGACACACCACCCCGCCGCAAACCCCGGAGGGGTGACGGTCCGAGGGGATTTCCACACGTTAAAAAAAAAAAAAAAAAAGATATAAATCTAAGCGCTACTTCGACTGCCACATCTGAACCTGAGGTTGAGCACTGAAATTCACTCTATGACAATATTCTCTGGAAATTTCTATGCAAATATAATCATAACATTTACGGAATAAAAAATGTATCTGAGTATGTTATTCATGTTCTAGAAACAAGAGTAGAAAAGTAGGCTTTGCTTAGTTTAGGTGTGTAAAAAGTCAATGTTTTTTTATAATCCTCATAGTTAGCACACACATTAGCAGGTTTCCGGTTACATGTCTGCCGTACGCCATTATTGATTTTTAATACAAAATTGCTGCATGGCATAATTCATAGTTACTCTAGGTAGGTATCACATGTCACAAGTTTAAAACAAATATTTGTACGTTTCTTTTATTATCACATGACGATATTGTCTATGTTTTTATTCTAGTAGCTGATCCGGCCAGGATGCCAAATGTCAAAATTAATCAAACCGTTTTCAAGTGTCGAAAACATTTGCATGTTCATTGTACCTTCTATACTCTATTAGAATGCTTTCTTACGTAAATGAATGTACATAATATGTTAATCTGTATCCCAGTAACATCTTCGTTTTGTAAGAATTCATTGAAAAAATACTCGAATCGCCAAATGCCAAGATATGTTTGTTCGTTTTGACTCCCTGGCGTTTCATGGAGATTCATAGAGAGTAAAACTCCCACATTCGTAGAGAGTTTGCGTTGCAGGTGTTTATACGTCGCAGTTAGTAGTCACTAACCGACTGGTGACCCGACTGCTCGTTTGCCTTAAATCTTACAAAAATTGAAACTAAAGTACGAATAACATGTTTTTTCAATAACTCAAACTAAAAATTGAAGTTAATATATATTTTACGACACATACTAAGTTTGAACATGTGAGAGATTATATGGATATAGCTTATCTGATTTTAAGATAACACTGTAACAACATGGCTAATCTTGTTGAAGATATCCTGCGATACCGTATACACGTTAGTTAGCAATACATTGATTGATTTGTATTGCTATACTCGTACCTATATATACATGTATAGAGATTATAGATAACAAATTGTTGCTCAGTTTCGTCACGAAGGTCGAACGTTTAGCATAGTTGGGAATTCGTGATCGGTATGAGCCTCGTATTTGAATGCGTCTGAATTTATAATGTTGTTTTTATACACTTACATTGATATAAAAACTTCGCTACAGGGTTAACAAATCAGTTAGCTTTTGTCATTAACACTAGAAATTACAATGGCTTCTAGTATAATTACTTAATTTATGTGAAGCACATGTAGTAGTTTAGATAATTTTGAAATTGTCCAAGGAATTGTGTATTTTACAGTTTTATGGGCCTGGTTTAGACTGTCTTGTTAGTGTAGTTCTTAGTGACCCTGACTGCTACGCCAGTACTGCTACGTCATGGGTTCGATACCCACCTAGGACAAATAATTGTGTGATGAGCACGCTCATTTGTTCTGGGTCTGGGTGTACTTTATCTATAATATGTTTGTATTTAGAAATATATAAGTATGTTTTTCAGCAGCCTGGTTACCATAGTACAGGTTCTGCTTAGTTTGGGATCAGACGGCCCTGTGTGAATTATAATAACTATTATTTCTTATCATCACGCAAATGTTAATTTATAAAGCGTCCATACTTGTCTTGCTAAAAGATCAGGCATGGTAATATGATCTAAAATGAACAGCGTGATTCCCACACACGATCATCACACATCACCTACAGGCCGTAGATGACCCGGGGTCCGTCGGGATTCTAGGTATTGCCTTCCTAGGGAACACATGTAGCCCTGCAACTGGCTTCAAGACTGATACAATCACCCCACCGGTGGGTGGTATCCGACGGGAATTCAGACAGACAAACAGAAAAAAGAGTAATAAAGAATTATTGTATAAAGAACGTCTAATGTTAAAATATATATATTATATATAATAGGTATACATGCCATTATGAATTACATTAATTTTATTGTTTCATTTTCCTTGATATTAACCAAACATTTTAGCTCCACAATGATACTTCTGATTCACCAGGCTTTCTCTAATTCTTAGCATATAACATTGGTTCTGATTTCGGATAATGTAATGTGAAATGCGGGTATAAAAGACCAATGGCATTATATACGATAATGGATAGCCGATATCGTTTTGGTTTGACGGGGTCAAGAGCGATAATAATATATATCGGGTATGTATAATGTACTTCTTTACCGGAAAACTGAGAATTAGGTACTAGTGACGTATTAGTATTACGGGGATATTAAAGATATATTATGTAATTATGTATCTGGGTAATGGGTTACTGCACTCGGTTTTAGTCGGTTCGAGTCCGACATGCCACCGATAGGTGGTATCCGAGGGGATTTCCGCACGGAAAAAAAAAAGGTTACTGGAATAGTCCAGTAACCTTTTTTTTTCCGTGCGTGTTTTTTTACTTATTACGTTACTGAATCACACTGTCTTTTGAATGTACATAATTTTGTTATAATAATATGCAGTAAAAAAAATGATTCTAAGGTTCGTTCACAAGTGTTGAAGGTTAAATAATTAAGCTCACAAATAAATTAAACTAACTATTTTAATAGATATTAATCATCATCATCATCATCAACAGCCTTTACTAGTCCACTGCTGGACATAGGCCTCTCCTTAGAAAGGAGGTTTTGGCCTACTATACCACGCTGGCCAGACGGGTTGGTATAGGGTTTGTTTCAAGTTTTCCTTCTCTCTGCAGTGCTGTTGTCTTGCGTAATTTCTCCCTTAGTCGCCTCTTACGACACCCACGGGATGAATAGGGGTGGTGACACTCTGTATTCTTAATCCGTCACCACACGGACTTAGATATTAATGATAATGATAAATATGAACCGCGATACGTTTAAGCAATTGGTAGTCAAATGTGAACTTTTAATTAATTCGAAGTACGATGCAAGTTAGTACTGAAATGAGTTGCTAATAAGACACAAGGTTTGAGCCATTTAGTAACGTGGTGGTACAAAATTCAACAAAATTGTTTAATGTTATTTTCCGTGCAACAGTGGTGGTGAGATGTGGCCAGTTGATGTCCCTGTCTCAAGAGAAAAGATACCAACTGGGTATGACTGAAAAGTTCCTCAGTTTTCCCATCCGAGATTTTGGGCATCTTTTAACCTTGCCTTATCCGTTTTCTTAACTTAATTTTGCCATTTTTTTCCTTTGTCTAAAAAGTATTTATGCCCATGAACGGTTGGTTGGTTGGACCAACACTTTGCAATGTTACGAATCATCGAGATACTCCTTGTTCTGTAAACACTACGGTTATTATATACTATATACATCCATACAAATAAATAAAAATTGGAGTGTCTGTTTGTAATATTAAAATAAACGCTTTTTACTAAATGCATATGTATGTATGCATACGGTACATATGCCAGAATAACATTTTTTACAATTTTTGTCTGTCTGTCTGTTTGTTCCCGGTAATCTCTGGAACGGCTGGACCGATTTCGACGGGACTTTCACTGGCAGATAGCTGATGACATAAGAAGTAACTTAGGCTACTTTTTTTAGACTTGCTTCGCCCCGCGGCGTTGCTCGCGGTTATCAACAAACGCGGGTAACACCGCGGGTCTCAGCTAGTTGTGTTATAAAGAAGTACCATTCTCTTGTATAGGTAATAACAGTGGGTACACATGGCGCGTCCTGTTCCTGTGCTTCGGCGAGCCCGGGGAGAAACTGCCAGAAAGTGTGAAGCCTCGCAAGGAGGACGGCACTGCGCGGGAGAGCGCTGAACTCGCCTTCTGCTTCACGGGACTCATGGCTGCATATTTAGTGTGGGGGCTACTGCAGGAGAAAATAATGACACAGGTTTGTATTATATTCATAATATTACTAAAGTTCTTCGAAACTCCTCCTCCTCGCTTCGGTTGCCTTAATGCTGAAGGTTGATTTCTTCGAAACTACAAAACAGGAAACAGACAAATAAATCTAAAATATTCTCTTGAGTCATACTTTTTCTTATACATTACTTCTTTTTCAATATATAGACAACAGATTCTATTATCTTTGTATAAATTGAAATATGTTACATTGCTCTTCGATAGATGTCGCTGTGCCGTTTGGCTAAATCGCGTTATGGTTTCGTTACCGCAATCAACATAAATTGATTTGATTTCTTTGTATTGAACGAACATCCTTTTACCTATTGTGTGAAGTGTAACCTAGTGATAAATAAAACTAGTTGTTAAGAGTCAGTGGTTTTATTAAGGCTCCTGGGGATCCATTTGTACAGTGGTCCTTCTCAGCCGGATACAGTGCGCGGTAGTGTCGACGCGTGCAATTTTTTAGTTGCTTCACCAGCGTAGAAATCAGAGTGGATCGCTCTGAAGTGCTGCCGCCGTCTTAGCGCCACGAAGAGGGCCCTCAGCGACGTATTCCGTCAACAGCAGAGGGCGCACGGGTGTGGAGTCTCTTGGCTGTCAGCAGCGTGTTTGAAAGCGCATTATCAGCGGAGTGTCCATTGAAGCGGACAATACAGGCGAATAATAGCGGTGGTGTGGAGGAGTTACAAGCGCCCCCTATCGGAGAAATTAAGAAAGTATTGTAAATTTGGAGTAAGTGAGTGACGCATTCAAGCAAAAAACTCTAACTTCAACATGGAAGCATTAATAAAGTTGCAAAATGATGCAAAGAATTCCATTGAGAAGGGCAGAGTAAATTATAAAAAATCACCTAAAGAACGTCTAACACCTTCGTTCCTGGAGACCAGATTGGAAACTTTGGAACAACAATGGAAGTCTTTTGTAGAAACACATAGAAAGATAGTAGAACTTGCAAAAGATAATGAACATAGTTATTTTAAAGCAGATACATACGATAGCACCGAAGAAAGTTATATTTTATACAAATCAGAGTTGAGAGAACACATTTCAAAACTTGCAAAGCCGACTAAGGGTTCAGATAAGCAACCGGTAATAAAGATGTATAATAATGTTAAATTACCTAAAGTCGTTATTCCAATGTTTTCGGGAAAATATACAGAATGGATATCATTTCGTGATCTATTTTTATCGCTAATTCACAACAACGATGCAATTGATGATGTACAGAAGTTACATTATTTAAAAGGTCATTTGGCGGGTGAGGCAGAACAATTGTTGCGCCACACTCCAGTCACAGCTGCCAATTACCAGGAATGCTGGCAGTTGCTAACTAAGCGTTATGACAACAAGCGGTATTTGTGTAACGCTATGTTAAAGAGATTAATAAATCAATCGAATATTTTGGAATCAGCAGGCGCTATTAAGGAACTCTTGGACACAACTGTAGACTGCATAAATGGCCTATCCACTATTGGTGTTGGCGTTGACTCTTGGGATGTTATAATAATATACTTAAGCAGCGAAAAATTAGATAGCGAGTCACGAAAATTATGGGAGTCAACGGTTGGTACCTGTGAGGAATTACCAACATTTGACAAATTTAAAACGTTTCTAGAGTCTCGATTTCGGTCATTAGAGTACTTGGATACACAGAGTGGTAGACAAAGGTCAAGTTACAAACCAAGAGTTCTTCATGCGGTTGCTTCCAAAAACGATACCCCTATTAAAGCAAGCTGTCCATTCTGTAAACAACCCCACAAACTTAGTCACTGTAAACAGTTTTGTAAAAATGACTATAAAACACGTAGTGATTTCGTTCGAACTAGTGGCTTATGCTTTAATTGTTTAAGGTCGAATCATTCTATTAAGTTTTGTCGTGTCCCCACCACTTGTCAGATTTGCAATCGCAAACACCACTCTTTATTACACCCTAAGGAATCCTCAGGATCAACGTCGTCTAGAGGCATTGCAGAGACGACGTCAGTAGTCAAGTCGGCAGTAGCTACATCGAGTACTGCTTCCGATGCGGTGCAGGAATTAAATGCTGCCGCTATAACCACTCACTTTAGTAAGAAGGCTGTTCCAAATCAGGTCTTATTAGCAACCGCTCTTGTCGAAGCACAGACAGGCAACGGATACAACCACCTGCTGAGGGCGTTATTGGATCAAGGATCCCAGACGTCGTTCATAACCGAATCAGCAGTTCAGTTACTTGGACTCAAAAAGACACCCGCAAGAGGTGTCATTTCAGGCATAGGAGGTGACGGTGGAGCTATGGTCTCCAAGTTTATCGTTTTCGTAACTATTAAATCACGTCACGATCCTAATTTTCACATCCAAGTTCAGGCATATGTTTTGGGTAATATTACATCGTTACTTCCAGGTGATAAAGTATTAGTACCAACGTGGCATCAACTAGAAGAAATAGTTTTAGCAGATCCAGAGTACCACAATCCAAACAAAATCGATATTTTGCTTGGAGCTGAAGTTTATGGCCAGGTACTCAAAGAGGGTTTAATCAAGCACCCTCTTGGACCCTTGATAGCACAAAATACACGGTTAGGTTGGATTTTGTCTGGTCGAACACACAGAGATTCGAATTTGGATTCAGCACATTGTCACCCGGCATTGGTAAGCATGCATTCGCAGATCAGTGACAATGAAATGCTTAAAAGATTTTGGGAAATCGAATCTGACGCATACAGTAAGAAGAAAATACTTACCCAGGAAGAGCAGTTATGCGAAGACTTCTTCAAGCAAACCACTCAACGAGACAGCACTGGTCGGTATGTTGTCAGTTTACCATTTAGAGACTCAGACCCACAGTGCAAATACGACCATACCAGAGACATTGCGCTTCGACGATTTCACCTTCTTGAACGTCGTTTTAAGAAGGTTCCAGAGATGAAACAGAAGTATACTGAGGTCATTCAAGAATACCTCGACCTTGGTCACATAGAAGTAATCAATCCCGTAACGGACACTCAGAGAACGGAGGCTGTGTACTTACCTCACCACGCCGTAGTTCGGGAGGATAAAACGACGACCAAGGTCCGAGTTGTGGCGTATTGCAGAAGATTTTTTAAAATAAAAAGGAAAGGACACACTTACCTGACCAGCGAGGAATTAGATGAGGCCCTAGAAATTTGTATTAGAGATTTTCAACGGCAATCATTTAGTGAAGACATAGACGATGTTAAGAGATCAGGAAGAGTTAAGACTAAAAGCAAATTAAAGGCACTATGTCCCATACTGGATTCACGAGGAATACTGCGAGTAGGAGGAAGAATAGAACATGCTCAACTCTCTGAAAGCATGAGACACCCCATTATTATTCCTCAACATAGTAACCTAACTGGCCTGCTTGTTGATGAAGCCCATAGAAAAACACTTCATGGAGGACCCACTCTAATGTTGAATTACTTGCGCTCGAAATACTGGATAATCTCGGCAAAAGGCACAGTCAAATCATTTGCACGTAGATGTGTAACTTGTCTCCGACACTCAGCTAAATTTAAAAACCAATTCATGGGACAATTACCCTTGTGCAGAGTTACACCAGCCAGAGCATTTGTACACAGTGGAGTGGACTTCGCAGGTCCAATCAATATTAGAGTGTCCAAAGGTCGCGGCAACAAGTCCTATAAGGGATACATAATCTTTGTTTGTATGTATGGTTACGAGAGCGGTGCACTTGGAGGTCGTAAGCGATCTCACGTCACAATCTTTTATTGCAGCGTTTAAAAGATTCATTGCCAGACGAGGTCACTGCAGTGACCTTTGGAGTGACAACGGAAAGAATTTTGTAGGTGCTTCCAAGGAGTTACGCTGCCTAGTAAATGCGGAACAATCATTGGTCGCTGATGAAATTAGGGATTGGCTCAGCTACAACAGTGTTAAGTGGCATTTTATACCACCGCACGCTCCAAATTTTGGTGGTCTTTGGGAGGCATGCATTAAATCAACTAAATATCACATGAAGAGAGTCATTGGCGACTCCACTCTCACTTACGAGGAGCTGTCTACTCTTCTGGTCCAAATTGAGGCGTGTCTCAATTCTAGACCAATTTCTCAAATTTCGCAAAATTCAGTAGACCAAATGCCCCTTACACCTGGTCACTTTTGATAGGAGAGCCGTTGATTCTTGCACCGGATCGTAACTATGAACACTCTAATGTCGGCACACTGAAAAGATGGCAGTTGCTTCAAAAAATGACACAAGACTTCTGGCGACGTTGGTCTCAGGAATATCTGCCCAATGTTGCCACCGTTATAAGTGGTCCCAAAAGGAACCTGAACCAAAGATAGGTGATGTGGTTCTGATCAAGGAAGACAATTTGCCTCCTGGTAGGTGGTTACTCGGTAGGGTTTTATTAAAACACCCGGGTTCGGACGGAATCACTAGAGTCGTAACTTTGAAATGCAAGGATTCTGTTCTTTAACCGGCCAACAAATAAATTGTGTGTTTTGCCAATAGCAGATTGATAATCTAGTTGTTAGTTTCAGTAGTATAGCTTGTAGTCGTAAGTCTTAACCACATATCCCCTCTGACCTCATGGTGGGCGGACTTTCATAGTTTTGTTTACCAATCCCCTTTACCTCATGGTGGGCGGAATCAGTTATTTTACATTATTAAGGACATAGTTTTATTAATATGTCCTTGGTGGGCGGAATGTATAAATTGAAATTATGTTACATTGCTTCTTCGATAGATGTCGCTGTGCCGTTTGGCTAAATCGCGTTATGGTTTCGTTACCGCAATCAACATAAATTGATTTGATTTCTTTGTATTGAACGAACATCCTTTTACCTATTGTGTGAAGTGTAACCTAGTGATAAATAAAACTAGTTGTTAAGAGTCAGTGGTTTTATTAAGGCTCCTGGGGATCCATTTGTACAATCTTATTGTTTTTAATAAATAAATAAATCTTATAATATAAATGTAAAAGGTTATATAGCACGCGCCACATAACTGCGTCAATAAAGTTGGCTGCAAACCGAATGTTGAGCAGGTACACTCGCAAACAAATGTAGGAACAACCTAGAAATATTTTATATATTTTTGCGTGAATTTTTAGGCTACAAACAAGAAATAATAAAAAATTATTAATTTAATTCAGAATTGTAACTAATATAACGTGCATGTGTATCTATTTCCGAACGATTACTTTAATATTTTTAATACTAAAGTGGCGAATAGTGAAATACATATCACGCTTTTGGTAACAACTATTTATTATATAAAAATTATAAAATTGACAAAATAATAAGATTAAATTTATGAATAGTCCTTAGGCGCGTTAAGGGTGTATCACAGGGGATTACGCTTGGTCTCCTACGATTGAATTAACACAACAACACATTGCACTGTTCTTCAAGACCACATGTTGAAAAATAGCGCAATCTATTGTTGAACAGGATGGTTTCATCATTAATGACGTTACCAACCAAATATTAAAAGTTGACCTAAAATTGTGCAATATTCGAACAGAAATTACTGACATTAGTTAGATTTTGAGTTAAAGTTTAACAAATGACAATGTCCAAATACTTCACATGTCACAGAAAGTGTTAAGGCATGATAATTGAAGCAGAAATCAATCGTTGCAGAACTATGTGATGTCAGACGGCAGCCTCATGAAGTTCAACGACTCGCAGTTCCTAGTGTTCGTGAAACCGTCCTGAACCGGCGCTGGTGGCGGCGGGCGCGCGCCTCGCGAGCACCCGCGCGCCCCTCGCGCCCGCGCCGCTGCACAAGTTCAGCTACTGCTCGCTCAGCAACGTGCTTAGCGCCTGGTGCCAGTACGAGGCGCTCAAGTACGTCAGCTTCCCCACGCAGGTGACGTATACTAGCCGCGCCGCTGCACAAGTTCAGCTACTGCTCGCTCAGCAACGTGCTTAGCGCCTAGGTTGCCAGTACGAGGCGCTCAAGTACGTCAGCTTCCCCACGCAGGTGACGTATACTAGCCGCGCCGCTGCACAAGTTCAGCTACTGCTCGCTCAGCAACGTGCTTAGCGCCTGGTGCCAGTACGAGGCGCTCAAGTACGTCAGCTTCCCCACGCAGGTGACGTATACTAGCCGCGCCGCTGCACAAGTTCAGCTACTGCTCGCTCAGCAACGTGCTTAGGCGCCTGGTGCCAGTACGAGGCGCTCAAGTACGTCAGCTTCCCCACGCAGGTGACGTATACTAGCCGCGCCGCTGCACAAGTTCAGCTACTGCTCGCTCAGCAACGTGCTTAGCGCCTGGTGCCAGTACGAGGCGCTCAAGTACGTCAGCTTCCCCACGCAGGTGACGTATACTAGCCGCGCCGCTGCACAAGTTCAGCTACTGCTCGCTCAGCAACGTGCTTAGCGCCTGGTGCCAGTACGAGGCGCTCAAGTACGTCAAGCTTCCCCACGCAGAGTGACGTATACTAGCCGCGCCGCTGCACAAGTTCAGCTACTGCTCGCTCAGCAACGGTGCTTAGCGCCTGGTGCCAGTACGAGGCGCTCAAGTACGTCAGCTTCCCCACGCAGGTGACGTATACTAGCCGCGCCGCTGCACAAGTTCAGCTTACTGCTCGCACTCAGCAACGTGCTTAGCGCCTGGTGCCAGTACGAGGCGCTCAAGTACGTCAGCTTCCCCACGCAGGTGACGTATACTAGCCGCGCCCGCTGCACAAGTTCAGCTACTGCTCGCTCAGCAACGTGCTTAGCGCCTGGTGCCAGTACGAGGCGCTCAAGTACGTCAGCTTCCCCACGCAGGTGACGTATACTAGCCGCGCCGCTGCACAAGTTCAGCTACTGCTCGCTCAGCAACGTGCTTAGCGCCTGGTGCCAGTACGAGGCGCTCAAGTACGTCCAGCTTCCCCACGCAGGTGGACGTATACCTAGCCGCGGCCGCTGCACAAGTTCAGCTAACTGCTCGCTCAGCAACGTGCTTAGCGCCTGGTGCCAGTACGAGGCGCTCAAGTACGTCAGCTTCCCCACGCAGGTGACGTATACTAGCCGCGCCGCTGCACAAGTTCAGCTACTGCTCGCTCAGCAACGTGCTTAGCGCTGGTGCCAGTACGAGGCGCTCAAGTACGTCAGCTTCCCCACGCAGGTGGACGTATACTAGCCGCCGCCGCTGCACAAGTTTCAAGCTACTGCTCGCTCAGCAACGTGCTTAGCGCCTGGTGCCAGTACGAGGCGCTCAAGTACGTCAGCTTCCCCACGCAGGTGACGTATACTAGCCGCGCCGCTGCACAAGTTCAGCTACTGCTCGCTCAGCAACGTGCTTAGCGCCTGGTGCCAGTACGAGGCGCTCAAGTACGTCAGCTTCCCCACGCAGGTGGACGTATACTAGCCGCGCCGCTGCACAAGTTCAGCTACTGCTCGCTCAGGCAACGTGCTTAGCGCCTGGTGCCAGTACGAGGCGCTCAAGTACGTCAGCTTCCCCACGCAGGTGACGTATACTAGCCGCGCCGCTGCACAAGTTCAGCTACTGCTCGCCTCAGCAACGTGCTTAGCGCCTGGTGCCAGTACGAGGCGCTCAAGTACGTCAGCTTCCCCACGCAGGTGACGTATACTAGCCGCGCCGCTGCACAAGTTCAGCTACTGCTCGCTCAGCAACGTGCTTAGCGCCTGGTGCCAGTACGAGGCGCTCAAGTACGTCAGCTTCCCCACGCAGGTGACGTATACTAGCCGCGCCGCTGCACAAGTTCAGCTACTGCTCGCTCAGCAACGTGCTTAGCGCCTGGTGCCAGTACGAGGCGCCCAAGTACGTCAGCTTCCCCACGCAGGTGACGTATACTAGCCGCGCCGCTGCACAAGTTCAGCTACCTGCTCGCTCAGCAACGTGCTTAGCGCCTGGTGCCAGTACGAGGCGCTCAAGTACGTCAGCTTCCCCACGCAGGTGACGTATTACTAGCCGCGCCGCTGCACAAGTTCAGCTACTGCTCGCTCAGCAACGTGCTTAGCGCCTGGTGCCAGTACGAGGCGCTCAAGTACGTCAGCTTCCCCACGCAGGTGACGTATACTAGCCGCGCCGCTGCACAAGTTCAGCTACTGCTCGCTCAGCAACGTGCTTAGCGCCTGGTGCCAGTACGAGGCGCTCAAGTACGTCAGCTTCCCCACGCAGGTGACGTATACTAGCCGCGCCGCACCCGATCGCATGCCTGCTTTTGGTCCTTTAATTATGTTTGTAAATATCCATCATCTCAACAATTTTTTTAAACTAGTCCATGGGGACATAGGCCTCCCCTTAGAAAGGAGGTTTTCCCCTATATACCACGCTGGCCAGAGGGGTTGGTATAGGGTTGGTCAATTTTTCCCTTCTTCTCAGTGCGTTTTCCACCCACGAAAAGGAAAGGGGGGTGGGGGCCCACTCTGTATCTTCAAGATATCTTTAAGTTCCGCGAAAATTTTTCTTAGTGAGTAGTCGACCTTTCATAAAATATGGAAATAAAATTTTGGATTACTTTTGTTCTTTTGATAGACTAAATAAGCCCTATGGTGTGCAGGGGGTATCGAAGTCATGAAAAGTGACCCCGGTGATTTAGGGGGAAGCTGACTCCCGCACAAGTACGAGTGTACGAGTACGTGGTGGCCGTGCTCATATCGGGGGGCATGGCATGTTCTGTAGGCAAACCATGCGTAACGTTGGTAAGTCTTTGGTCCAAAACGGCAATGTTAATTTAAATTTAAACCCTTTTTTTTTCGAAACACACAAAACAAAATAAAAATAAATATTTTGATTTAAAGAATTTTAAAGCGTATTTCGGCCTAAAAAAGGTTTTAAAAAAATTTGGATTTTTTGTGTGAGATTTGTGTTATTTAGAATGCAAAAAACTTATCCCTTTTAATTTTGCCCAAAATGAGGTTATTTAATATGATAGTCAAAAAACAAAGAAGGTAATGGGAGCCCCAAAGATTACTAAAAAGAAAAAAAATAAAAGTTTGAAGTTTTCGACCCTTATAGAATTATGAGAATTTCGGGAGGGTGGATATCGGGTAGGGAACAATTTTTATAAAATAACTTGCTATACCCATCACTTTATTATAATTCTTGATATCACAATCATTACTTTCACAAATTAATTAAGTATTACTAAGATTAGCACGGATTAGAACTTAGCGTCCACCGAGCACGTGTTTGCGCGCGCCCTCCACTACACGGTACGACACTAAATGTCCTTTATCACCAGATGGCCGCCTCACCAGCACGGTACTATTATAATACAGTATTGTAACTCGGCCGCATGATAGAAATAAATGCCTACAGCCGCGCGGTACTAAAAGCGTTTTGGGCTGCCCCCTCTCCAGCATTTAATTATATTTGCCACTTTCTGTTTCATTTAGATTTTGGATTTTAAAACCTTTTTATTAAAAAATGAAATACCCTTTGTATATTGAATAGGAAAATTTTTCAATAAAAAGCGTGTTGTTTTTTGATTGGTGATTTAATTTAAAAAACATTTTTTTTTTTTGAAAAACAAATCGGGTTATAAATTAGCCCCCGAAAAAAATCCTTCTAAAAATAAAAAAAATGTGTTTCTCCCTACGCGTACAAAACTCCAATCCTTAAAAAACTCAACACCTACCACCTACTAAACTAGAAGCAAGAAACAGCTGACGAGTAAGAACTTTTTATTTCAGCAATTAAGTTCTATAAATTAGGGCCCTACCTAAAACTCAAAACAAAAATTCTTTGTCACCAATTAATTAATTTTTTAAAAAGTGAACATAATACGAATGTTTTAAAATCACAACCCTCAAACATCTAAATTTTAATGAGTCCTGCTTTTGTTGTTAATACCGAAAAAAAAAAAACCTTTTTTTGGGGGTTATGTTGTTATAGTAGCAGCAGAAAAAACATTTGTGAAAAATTTCAAAAATTTCTAATAAAACAACAGACGGAAAAACAATTTTTTTTTTATATTATTATACAACAGATAATAAAAAAATATTTTAATAAAAAAAATACCAGTCTTTAATTGAATTTTCTTTTTTTTTGAATTATGCAAAGTAAAAACAAAAAATGCCCCAAGTTTTAACAAAAACGAAGTAGGTAGGTACCTACCGATATGTTCATTCAGAACCGCTGTAACCCCCTATTTCCTCGTTCAAAAAACTTTCCGTACTCTATTCTTTTTTTATTCATCCAAAAACCCTTTTTTTTTCGTGAGATAAAAGGAAAATACTTACCCTTTAAAAAAAGACACACTATGTACCTACGTACTAGTAAGTAAAATTATTTTATATCTTACTTTTTAGAGTTTTCCGGTAAATTTAAAAAAAAATTAGTCTGGATGCGTTATTGACGAATTCAAACCAAAAAAAAAAAACAAAATTTCCCACTCGTCATATTAACTGTTTTTAGAGAAAAATCGCCGGTTATTGTTAAAAAAACAAACGCAGTCCGTTCGACACTCGGACAGCCGTGACTGTCTGCGCCCCCAGGCCCCCGAGATCGAGGGGCGTAGGTATAGCTCCGTTTTTGTCCGTTTTTTGAAGTTGGAGTACTGTATTTAATAGTACCCTGTCACCAGTGCTCGGGGGGTTTGCTATGGACTTTGACATAGACTTGACAGGACGTTTGTCATTTACATATTATAAAAGTCTCAGATATTTTGAGGGGGCTGCGCCGACAAGTTTTATTCTTTTTTTATCGATCTCTTTTAAAAAATCGATATCGCACTGCGATTTAAGAGTGGTAGCATCCCCAACTGTGTGTTTATCCGCGGCCAAAAAGGGTGGTACGACGTCGCAGGGTCCACGCGCGACCCATTCGGGCGTGGCCTGTGGCGCTGTACATGGTGTGGAAGCTTTACGTCGTCGTGGAAGGGGGCCGTGTTCAGCAGTACGGGTGGGGCTCGCTGCACATGCGTGCGCCGTCAACGCCTTCTCCTGCCCCGCTCACCGCCGCCCGCATGCCGACCACCCGCCGCCCCCTCGCCCTGCGCACGTTGGTCACTTTCACCTTCTCGTCCTGTACGTTTGAGTCACTACACCCCACTCGCCCTGTTACGTTTTAGCATTACACCTTCCGCCCTTTTTCGTTTGAGTATTTCACCTACCGCCCGCACGTTTGAGTCACTTACACTTTTTCGCCCCCCCTACGTTTGAGTCACTTACACCCTATCGCCCGCTACGTTTGAGTCCTTACACCCTACTTGCCCTGTTACGTTTGAGTCATTACACCATTCTCGCCCGTTAGTTTGAGTCACTTACACCATTCTCTCCTGTTACGTTTGATCCTTCACCCTACTCGCCCTGTTACGTTTGGGTCACTTCCCCCATTTTCGCCCCTTTTTCGTTTGAGTCACTTAACCATTTCGTCCGTTCGTTTTTAGTCACTTAAAACCCCACTGCCCTGTTACGTTTTGGGCACTTTCACCATTCTCGCCTGTTTTTGTTTGGTCACTTACACCATTCTCGTCTGTTTTAGTTTTTTTTAGCATTTTCACCACATGCCCGTTACGTTTTGAGTCACTTACACCATACTCGCCTGCTACTTTGAGTCACTTTCACCCTTCGCCCTGTTTCGTTTGAGTCACTCAAACCGCCCTGTTAGCTTTATCCCCCACGCCAAAACGACCCCCCCCCTGCACCTTTCAGCACCCGGTTCGCGGCGGATGCATCGTGCTGTCGGTGAGCTCGGCGGTGGGGCAGCTGCTGATTACCGCCACC